TGAAGCTATGCACAATGATGTTCAGATTCAAGGATATTTTGGTTTTTGTGCTTTTTTAGCACATGATTTTGAAACGTTTTTAGTACAACTTCAAACAAAATCTCCAACGATTCACATATTTTATCTTGCAATGTGTTAGCTATTTAACTCTTTTCTTCAAAATCTTATTCTCCCAAAAAATTTAAATCATTTATGGAGAGTTTTAATGAAAAGTTTTCGATTTTGCAGAATTTTTAACTGTTTCTGCAAAATCGAAAAACATAGGAAATTTTTTTTATTTAAATTGATGAAGGTGCCCCAAGAAGTCCTTACGTTCTTATCACAGAGCACCGTGGAAGAGCATTTAATAGGAAGTTCACGCCTCCTTTCCAACCGACGTCGCAAAACTTGCCCACAGGTGTGATTTGAACTACGGATCTTACGTTTCAAGTGCGCAACCACTGCGCCACGGCTGCTTTAATTAAGCTCAATTAATTAGCTAAATTAATTAAAAAAAGCTCAATTAATAAAAAATTAAGCTCAATTGAATCAGGAACAAAAGTGAAATTGCTGTTGCAAGGAGCTGCTCTACCTAGTTCAGTAGATGAAAAATTTAGGACTGAGTACAAAGAGTTTTGTATTGCTTCTACATCATATTTACGAAAAAACTTTCCTTTTCATGTTTCACAGCATGCTCAATTTCTTCATCCAAAAAAGCATATTGCTCCAGGTGCAACAAGTGCAATATCTAATTTAACATTGAAAGTTGCTTTAGTATTGGAAAAACGACTTAGCTCGAATTTTCATCTAAATTTTCTTCAACCAAAGAATCTCTGTGTGATAAAGTAAGAAATCAATAACTATCTTATCATTATGGTCATCCCAAAACACTTTTATATAAATTCATAACTATCCACTTCATCGCTCAACAGCAAGCATCATATTGGTCTGATACATCTAGTAATTGTTACATAAATAATATAAGCAAACCAGCCGAATATAAGCGAATAGATAATTATAGGAGCCAAGAGGGAGCTATATCTGATGAAGCGGGCAATTTAAAATTTCTCAGCTGCTTGCACTTGTTAAGTCTGTTTTATCTGTTTTTCGTAGCAACAGTACACCCGAAAGAGAATTTTCTATAAATAAGAACTTAATAGAAGCTCACAGTACCAACTTAAAATAAGACACTACAGTGGCTTGCCATGTTATTAGTGAAAAAAACTAAAAAAACACCACTAAAAACCTTTGCTCCTTACCCAATTTTTTTCTCTTTCATTATTTTTTACTTTGGGAATGTTGCCAAATTTGTTATTTCATTAATAGCATCATATCTGAGCGATTAATTTCATTAATCGCTCATATCTTTTATTGTCATTCTTACCATATATTGTCAGTTTGAACAGGACGTTGCATAAAATGGTTTAGTGAAGTGTTTCTTTCTACAAAAAAATTATTGGAATATCTCGTTTTGAAGGTTATATTGTGACTAACATTGTATATTTTATTAATCACAAAGCTATGTTTGTCCTAATACTCACATTTTTTAAAGAAAAATATATAAAATTGCAAATTTTAAAAAGCAAATTTTGTATGAGTCGTCACAAAACTACCAACTCCCCCCTCCCCCTAATAGCGTGACGTAATTTATAAACGATTCCAAAGGGGAGGGCATGTGATATTTCTCCACGAAAACTAGGTGAAATTTGTGGATTATTAAAAAAATTGTCGTTTGTGGTAGAACAAGATTAACAACACCCAGGAATGACAGAAAAATTAGATATATTTGTCTACAACAAAGAAAATTCCCTGTCAACTTATTGATCAAGATTGTCAATGAACAGGTAATAATATTTCCCAATATACAGTCCAGAAACGTCTTAAAGAATTTGGTTTAAATTCACGTTGCCCAGCACGTAAATCAAAGTTAACACCCATTATGGTAAAAAACCTCTAAACTGGGGAAAAAAAATATAAACTTCACAGAGGAAGGCTGGAAAAAGCAATACTGAATGAAAATCTTTATTTGTAAAATTTAACTTGATTTTGGTATCTTTTTAAACCTTATTTGCGTATGTTTTAGGTTTGTTTTTCAGATGAGAGCATTTTTCAGGTCATAAGCCACTGTATTGTTGAATTGAGATTAAGTGTGTTTGAAATAAAAATATTTTTCTTTTTCAGTAATATTACGATATTTTATAAAAAATAGTTTGAATTAATGCAACAACTTTTACAGTTTGAGAAAAACTTAATCAAATAGGTAAAGTTATGAATTTTCCAATAACGAGTAACTTAATTAAATGTTGTAAAGAGTCTTATCAAAGATATAAAATTTATTTGGTTGAGATTAGAAAACTACATTAGTAAAGGGTGAATCAGGAAAGGTAAACCAAACAGTTGCAGGCAATATTTTTGCATCAGCAAAAAACAGATCTAGAAATTATTGAAACAGATATAATGTTCACCATTGTTTTAATTCAACTGGTATATTTTTCTTTATTTTATTATTTGAACTTTGTCATCAAATGAAAACATAACTAATAGGACTTTTGTTGAACAAAATATTTTATTTAAATTCCATTACATATAGGTTATGCAAAGCTGGCATCAAGGTTGCAGAAACTGCTGTTGATGAAGGTAATGAAAAACTGCAACAAGCACTAATCAAAGTAAAGTTAGATAGAACTGTATGCCAAACTTCACAAGCTATGATTGACATCAACAATTAAAAAAAAATTTTAATTCCCTTTTATGCAAGAAAGCGTAAAATGGATTTACAAATAAATTTTAAAAATTTGGAAAAAAAGAAAAAATTAGTCAAATAAAATTATAAAAGCTGCTGAAAAAAACATTTTTCTCTAAACTTTTTATCATTTTTTATTAAGTAAAATATCAAAATTTTGAAATTTTGAAATATAATACATTATTATAATGTATTTTAATATACTATAATACTAAGTACATTTGTTTTTGGTCTAATTTTTTTATTGTTTTTAATTTGATTTTAAAAACAATAAAATAAAGATTTAATTGATGCTAAAGTCATCAGTTTTAAGTTTACCTTAAATATATATATATATATATATATATATATATATATATATATATATATATATATATATATATATATATATATATATATATATATATATATATATGCTATTATAAATTTATACAATCCATACGCTGTATATAAAGTAAAAAACATGCAAATTATTTAAAAAGCATGCAAAAGTATCCCGGTGGGAAATGAGCAAGCGACTAGCGAGCGACGAGCTAGCTTTATAGCGATTTTTAAGCGATTTTTTTTTTCTTATTTTGTTCTTTACAAATGTCTCTAACATCTTTAAAAATTCGATTTTTAGTGTTGAGTCTATTATAATTATGAGAATAATTGAACTTTAAACATTGCGATTTTGTAGCAATGTGTCGCTAGCTACATATCGTAGCTTTGTAGCTAGCTACAAAATATCTACAAATCTATTGCTGGTTGATAGCTACATACCAAAATTTTTTTGATAGCGATTTTATTACGATATGACGGTAGCTACAATAGCCTGTGAATCTTTAGCTTATTAAGCTAGCTGTCCTCGTAGCCAAATCGCTGTCTTTATCTTTACAAATATCGATAGCTTTTCGCTAACTTAAAAAAGCTAGCGATCCTCGTGGCCAAATCGCGTTCTTTATCGTAACGATTTTAGCTAGCTATTCGATAGACGATTTCCCACCGGGATGGAACACTATTAAGGAACAGCATGCAAAAGCATGCAATTTTTGTAAAAAGTAGCATGCAAATTTTATAAATGTTAACTCGAAACCCTGGAATTATATTTAGATTACTCTCTCGCACTTATATCTCGTTACTCCTTAATACAAGGGGTCGGATTTTAATCCAGATCTAATAAACTGGAGGGAGGGTGTGGGGTTAATAAAAAGGAGGGGGTATTTTTTTTCATGGATATTAAAATATCAAAATACTAAAACCAAAATAAAAGAACTCCATTATGACAAAAGATATTGAACACAAAAGATCAAAAAACACAACACCTAAACTATTTTTTTCTTTTTAACTATATTTATTTCGGTCAGTTTGTATGATCTTCCGATCTGATGCCATGTTACAATATAAATATTTTTAATAAAAAATTTCAGTTTATAAATCCAAACTAAGATTTTTTATAAAACACGCATAAAACTATTTTTAGTTATTTTTTAGGCGTGGCTTGCAGTCAAATGCGCATTTTTTTAACAGGTTTATCATAATTTCCATAGGGTTTAATATGCTGATATAGGTTTTATAATTCGGCAAGAAATCAGCCATTTTTCAAAATTTGAAAGTTTTTGTTTTTATCAGGGGTGTGGAGTCGTAAAAAAAAGTAACGACTCCGACTCCTGTTGTTGAAATTTTTTGAGTACAACTCCGACTCCAAAGCAAAATGTTTGAAAAATTCTTTGAATTCTTTATAAAATATTGCGCGATAAATTGAATTTTTTTTTTTGACAAATTAATGAAACATTCTTTGAGGTTTAGTATGAACATAAGGTCAATTAAATGTTTTGTACATGCACGTGCAATACTAAGAAATTTTACTATCGGAGTCAGAGTCGCGATATTTTTTAGCGACTCCGACTCCGCTAAAATTGTGGCAACTCCGCAACTCCGACTCCACAGCCCTGGTTTTTTTCGATGACTGAAATAATTATTTTCTAATTTTTAAGGCCGAATTTCATTAAATTTGCTTTTAGTTCTGAGATATAAATTTTTTGTTGATATCAAGTAAAAATTAACAAACGTGTAAAGTATGGGAAAGAGGAACGGAGGGGTGGGGGGAAAGTCTTAATGAAATTAGAGTGGGAAAATTTTAAAAAAATTAATAAACGTCCCCTCCCTCTATTTTATTAAGGACTCGAGAGTATTTATATGCATTTAAATTTGCGTAATTAATATCTAAAATATTTATATACATTTAAATTATATCTAGATATATAAATTGTAAGAAATGAAGTCAAAAACAACCACACACAAAAAAAAGCTTATCATTCTATAAAAAGGAAGCATTTACAAATGATTTTTTAGAGTTACATCAAACCAAAACCTTTAGCATTAGAAATAGCTTTTAATAATCGTTCCCTGAGTTTATCAACGCTAGAATATTTTGGTAGAAGTAGGACATTGAAGCATGTATGAGCAGTAGGTAACCTATAGTAAATGAAAGATAAAAGAACTTTGCCACATATATATATATATATATATATATATATATATATATATATATATATATATATATATATATATATATATATATATGTGTGTGTGTGTGTGTATATATATATATATATATATATATATATATATATATATATATATATATATATATATATATATATATATATATATATATATATATATATATATATATATATATATATATATATATATATATATATATATATACATACATACATATATATCTTCATACAAAAGTGCTGCATTTTTTCAATTTATAGAAATAACTATGTAACTGTTTAGAGACAACGTTCTTCAAGTTTTATTCATCACAAAGTTCATTATTTGTACACGAAAATTAATAAATCAAAAGTATTAAAAAAAGTTGATTTCCTTATGGACAAAACAAGTACAACTCTACAAAATGTTGACCAAGCTGTATTTCTCTATCAATATTTCGTAGCGAATCCTTTGTTTTCAATCACACCCTTGCATCTTTGAGGCATAGATTCGATCAGGTGATCAATGAAACTTTGTGGAATCGCTGCCCAGGCCTTTTGGATTTGTTCAAACAGTTGATCCTTATTACGAACACCTTCACGATTAATTCTGCGGTTGACGATCTCCCACAGGTTCTCGATAGGGTTGAGATCCGGAGATTGAGGCGGCCAATCCATCACCGATAGGTGGTTGTCTTGAAACCACTGCTTGACTACTTTTGCAGTGTGTTTCAGATCGTTGTCTTGCTGAAAAACCCATTTTAATGGCATATTCCATTCAGCATGAGGTAACATAACATCTTTCAGGATATTTTTATACACGAAACGGTCTATTATTCCATCGATTCGATGTATTGGACCTAGACCGTTAACAGAAAAACTCCCTCAGACCATTACATTGCCTCCACCATCCTTCACGGTCTTATGGCAGTAACCTAAATCGAGGCGTTTTCCGGCCGGTCAACGTACAACGCAAATGCCATCGCTCCCAATGATGTTGAACTTCGATTCATTACTGAACAGGACAGTTTGCCATTTCGGCACATTCCAGTCAATATGAGATGTAGCAAACAGGAGTCTTTTCTTCTGGTTCTTTAGTGAAATTTGCAGGGCGTCGAGAAAACAATCCGGCTTCAACAGCACGTCGTCTGATTGTTCGGTCCGATACAGGCAGCTCTAATTTGATAATCTCGACTGATGATATCCAGGGATCCTTTTTGACGGATCTGACGATCATAGAATCCGCTCTAGAAGTGGTGGAATGCGGTCTTCCACCTTATCTGCTGCCAACTTCCCCGTAGAACAATATTTGAAACATAGTCTTGATACGGTCCATTTTTTCACGCGATAATTATAACATATACTTTTTTGTGACATTCCACTTACGTAATCGCCAATAAAATTTTCTTTCTTAGTTCCAATCCAAGACTGTCGGGAGCCGTTTTTGCACTTGAAGTCATAAAAATAATAAAAATAAATAATCACACTTCTCAAAGGCTTACCGTGTTACATTTACCTTGTGATGATACAATAATGCTCTGTGGAACACAACGTCTTGGTTGGATGTGGACTGTATTGATGTAATGAAACACTTGTTGTATTTTACTTCTTGTATTGATGTTCTTCGATAAAACACTTTGATAAAACTCACTTTGATAAATTGTTTTGATAATACTGACTGATTGACTTCCATATACTGACTTAATTACATGTCGGTTTACATGTCTCTTATATAGTAAAATGAACCTGTGTGAACCTGTTCTGGAAGATTCTAGATGTTTCTTTTCGATGCTTCTGGAAGCTTCTTGATGCGTCTGGATACTTCTGAATGTTTCTGGATACTTCTGGATGCTTCCAGATGCTTCTTCTGGAAACTTCTGAAAGTTTCAGCATACTTCTGGAAACTTCCTTTAATTATTAAAAAACTTCCGTTGACACGGACTAGACTTTAGAAAATGAAACAAACCAAAAAAGTTTCACTTGTTTTGTCCGCTGCAAAACGGCACTTGTCAACGAAATTTAGCCTGTGTGCTGTAACATGTCAGCTGATTGCTCATGTCATGGCATGCTATGACTCCAGACTCCTGAACTGTTTGCTGTAGTAGTATAGTTCGTTTCGTTTTTAAGACATGTAAAATTAGGAACACTTTTTAGCATTGTTCGATGTTGGTTGCAAATGATTTGTCCAATACTGTATATATACATAGTATATATATATATATATATATATATATATATATATATATATATATATATATATATATATATATATATATATATATATATATATATATATATATATATATATATATATATATATATATATATATATATATATATATATATATATATATATATATATATATATATATATATATTTAACTTAAAAACGAATGTCGCTTCACTAGAATAAAGTCTACTATAGGAGATTTTTTTTCTATTATTATTATTTTTATTATTTATAATAATAAAAATAATAATAATAGAAAAAAAAATATATATATATACACACATTTATATACTTTTTAAGGCAATTTATACTATAATTGTTGTGTTTACAAAAACTAAATACTATTAAACATATTATCAATTATTTAACAAAGATGCTATAATTAAATAATCAAGTTCAAATTTTTAATTTATAAATAAACCAGATTTATTTTGTAAATAAACGAATATAATACTAGCGAGCACCTATTATTCATTAAAATATTCTGAAGTAGTCTAAACTATTACAGATATACTATAATAATAAACTAAAACATAAAGACACTCAATGAAGTCAAAATATCAAAATATATGTTAAAAGCAATTTCAATATATATATTAAAATCATTAATTATTACTTTATAAACCAAGGAAGTAATAATAAATTCTCAAATCCATCAATTAAGTTTAAACGCCATACTTTAATTGGATATCTATCTAATAAAAGAACTTTTAATAAAATAAAACTTTTAATAATTTATTGTTTATTAACCTTTAAACTGTACAGCTATGAATTTATATGAATGTCGCAACATTAAGATGGGTTAAAATGACTTTTTTAATGAAACACAGTAAACTTTTAACACCTACAAGCTATTCTAGAAAACAAACTTAACCTGGAAACTCTAATAACTCTGAATAAGAGGTGACACAATAAAAGAAATTTCTTACTTGTTCACAAAAAAAACTGTCATACTGTCCATTTGCATTTGCAAAAGGTGGAGGAAAAATTATAACCACGCATATTGCATAAATTAATGACCTCAAAGACAACAGCAGAGACCCTAATTGGTTATATAACATAAATAATGCATGAGTTGTTGTCTAAAAATGCGAAAGACAAAAAGGAGACTACATTAAATACTGACTTTTGTAATGCATCTATTTTTAATTGCCACTTTTAAATATTATGCAAAATGATAATATCAGGCTGTATGTAAATATACCACTACTGTATATAAATATACTAAGGCTGTATATAAGTACACTAGGGCTGTATATAATCATCCTAGGGGTGTATATAAATATACTAGGACAGTATATAAATATACTAGGACATTATATACATATACTATGACACTATATAAATACACTAGGGCTTTTTACAAATACACTAGAGCTATTTACAAATACACTAGAGCAGTTTATAAATATACTAGGGTTACATTTTAGTGATTTACCGAACAAAACTTTTAACAATTGTCTAAATTTAAACTTTTTTTAAAATGTTTGTTACAGAAATTCTATTCTTCACAACATCGCACAACATTTTCCTGTGTAATTGCTATTCTTTTACCTTGAGATATTATTTGAATAAAAACTAGTAAAACAACTTGTACAACCCACCTTAATGCTTAACCTACCTATCTGAATCTTCTCCATTTTTTGCAATAATTAATTTAAGTTTTGACAAACCACCAACCGGTACTCTATCACTTCCGGTTGTAAAATTTAAAAATTGTTTAGCCTGATCAGAAGACATCTCATGAATGACTTGCCAAAAATATCTGAATACAAAAAAAAAATAAAAAAAAATAAAATTAATAACCATTAGTAAAAGTTTAGAATTATAAGATTATTTTATTCAAAACTTGATAAACTATGACTAAAATAGCACAAACTCTTTTAAACTAAATGTTTACTCAAAAATATTTCCTATTAATCTAATTAAAAAAATAAATACCTTATTACAGGAGTATCTTTTGAATACCCACCATCATACTCGGTAGCATTTTCTAGTTCATTGATATCATATATCTACAATAATACATATATATACACTTAAATATATTATAATTTATTAGAAGACTAATTCTAGCAACTTTATTAAACGAACCACTTAAATCCGAAATTAAAACATGAATTAAAAAACATAAAACAGTACCTATTCAATAATAAAACTTTACCTGACTGCCACAAACAAGTAATTCCAACTCATCTGGTCGAAATATTTTTTTCAAAATTGAATGACTTGTCACTATATCAAAACCTTTTTTGAAAGCATCGAACTAATTAAAAAAAGAATAGCATTCCATAGTTTAAAACTTTTTCACAAGTTGCAAGTTCAATAACCATCATAAAAAATTGTAAAACTCAAAATATTTTATAAAACACTTGTAATATTTTAAAGAATATCAAACCTGCTGTTTTACAGATGTATTTAGAATAAAGTCAGCATACAGCGCTACATACTCCTATAATTAAAATAACAATTATAAAGTAATAAAAATTTTTTTGCAACCAACCAAAATTGTTGTGAAATATTTAAGCAACAAGTTGGTTTTTTATTTTCTTTTATAATTTTTGCTAACCAAGTCATCAGATTTATTTTTGGTAAAACCATCAAGTTCTTTTTTGGCTAATCAAGTTATTAGGGTAGAGCAGGGCATATCAGTGGGGCATAACAAGAGAGCTATGCCTGAAACCTTACATCTCAGCTAAAAATTGTATTTTTTCCAAAATTTTTAAATTATTCTGCTTCATTATCGTAAAAAAAAATTAATTTTAGAAGTACCAAAATGCATAAAAAGTACTAAAATGCATCAGTAAGTTTGCAAAAAACAAAATTTGCTTACTTTTTTAAGTTATACAGCGACAAAAGATTTATCTTGAACTATTTCTAATTTGCTTTATTTATAAAAAGTTTGCTTGATTTATAAAAAAAATATTTTTCAGACAGTATTTTTTATCTTCTTTTAAAATCTGGTTTAAAAAAAATATCTGGAATTGAACTTTTTAAATAGTTTTAATTTCAGTAAAATGACTTTTGTGGGGTATATCGGGACAACAAGTTATTTATATAAATTGACTATATTAATTCCATTTTGTCAATAGTTTGATGATTTTATTTTTAGTTTAAAATATTATTTTCATTATTTAGAAAAGCAATATTAGTAATAAATTCAAAGAAGTTGTTCTTTTTATAACTTAACTTTGATTAATAACAGTGTTTAAGGTAAACAACGATGGTCAGAAATTATATAAGATCAATCATCCGAAATGGAATGAAATGTTGTTTTAACTGTGAACAAAATGGAATGAAATGTCGTTTTAACTTTGAACAAAAAAAAAATAAAAATTCAAAAAGCTGCTGATGGATGTGGCATATTTAAATTTGCTCTACATTAGCATATCATGCTAATAAACCAGCTTATCAAAAATGTTACCAAAAAATATATTTAATATTTGGTAACATTTTTGGATATTTTTTGTGTGATTTGTGTGATCCATAATATTTTTTGTTTAATTTTTAATTTAGTAGTGGTTACCAATTTAATAGTATATACTAGTTTTGTGCTACTTAAATTTTAGAACAATTTCTTAAGTTTTTTTATTTAAAAGTATTTTATAATAAAACTCAAAAGATTTTATTTTTTTTATTTTAGTTGTTATTCCTTTTTTTTTTTGTGGTTTATGGGTGTGTAATTTGTATGGTTATGTTACTTTTTTGAGATTTTAATGCCTAAACATGTTTAAATGATAAAATGCATTAACGTTTAATCACTTTTAAAGGTTTAAAATTAATGAATAACGACTGCTTTTTAACTGTCCCACCTTGCCCCACCCAGTTTCAAAATGTAGAATATTTGCTAGTCTAGAGTTTTGTTACTTTGGTTGTCATAGCTTATTTTTAGAATTTTTTTTCTTTTTTTCTTTCTTATATTGATGAATTTTTGAAAACTTATAAAAAACAGTGTTAATTATGATTAGTTTTTATCTGCAACTTTTGTTTCTTAAGTGTCTCAATATGCCCAGCTTTAAGTATTTTTTTCATTTATTTCTTAAGTGTCTCTATATGCCCAGCTTTAAGTATTTTTTTCATTTGTTTCTTAAGTGTCTCTATATGCCCAGCTTTAAGTATTTTTTTGGTTTGCCAATCTATTAAAAAATTTATTTTTTAAATGAATTTGACATTTCACATTTTAAATGAATTTTTTTTGTATATTATGATCCAAAATAAACTTTTTTGGCATACTTACATTTCATATTTTAATTTAAAGCAGAACTTTCTTATTTATTTATTTTACTTTATAAGCATTTATTTATTTTATTTTACAATTTTTTCTTCATAATGTATCTGGAGTATTATTCTCTTTGGTTAAAAATGATAAATTGGAGATGTACCAACAGTGAATTAATTACGAAGGTATATGTTTTTGATACCATCTCGAAGTATACATAAATATTACTGAACAAACATTTTTTGATACAATAGAGTGTTAGCAGTATTGGTTTTATATCATAATCTGAAAAGGTTTCTGCCTTTGGTTCGAGTTTTGAAGTTATTACATGTGTTGGGTTAGATTTTCTTAAGTAATTTTATATTTGCTTTATTGATAAGCTCTTCGATATTAGACAGATATTAAATTGGTTATTGAGTTTATGGCATCAATCTCAATAACTTTGAGTGATTGTTAGTAGAATAGTTGTAGCTCTTTTTTTATATAGTATAGAGTATAGAGGTGCTGTAAAGAATGTGAGATATAAATTTGAAGTAGTTTTAATTGGGTGCGACCAGGTTTTTTAAAGGGGCTTTAGTAAGTAGGGTACTGACTTAATAGTATTATGAACTTTTATCCATTGATCATCCCAGCTAAGATTTTTGTTTATTAGGATTCCTAATAAACAAAAATCCTAATAAAAAAAAAGGTTTATTAGGTACTTGTAGCAATCAACTGATTGGAGTTTAGAGTTTAAAAGAATTGGTGAAGGATTAGGATGATGACTCTCTATTGATAATGTTTTACACATTAAACGAGTTTCATGCCATTAACAGTAGCCCAGTTCGCTATGCCATCCACAATAGATAGGAAGGCTTTATGCATTTTTGTCATAGATGATGTAAGTTAATATATCATCAGCGTATTTTTGTAGGTTTTTCTCAGGTGGTGAAAAATCATTCATACCATTATGAATAATATAAATAAAATAGGTCCAAAAACGCTACCTTGAATGACTCCAGCTTTAATACATTTCCATTTGTTTACATGCTCAACTGTTTTTACTCTTTGATGACAGTTAAAAGTTGTAGGTAGCTAACAATCCATGATGTAAGCCAGCTAGGAAACAAGTTTTGAAGTTTTAAGAGCAATTTGTTGTGATCAACTATATCAAAAGCTTTAGAGAAATCAAAAAAGATGGCGAATATTGACAATTTATTGCCATTTGCGTAGCTAAAGTCTTCTATTACTTGAATTATAGTATCCATTGTGCTATGTCTAAGGAGGAACCCAAATTGTTTATTTGCTGTCCAGATATACTTTTTATGATTAAAAATAAATATAGACAAGTTGGAGACAGATTATCATTATATATCTATATTTGTCTCTCAAAGTAATGTAAAATGAAATAAGTTTATAAGTATAAACATTGCAAATAGGACTAAAATAATAAATTTTTTGGTGTTTTTTAAATACTATAATTAATAAGTATTTACTCTATAATATTTACAAATATATTGTTTGCAAGGACTTATAATTTATTTATTTATAAATATGTTGTTTGCAAAATTTTATAATTTACTTATTTATAAAGTTTTATAAGTTTTATAAAATGCAAATTTTAAGTAAAGTTATTCTTATATATTGCTTGATCTTTACGTATTGTTTTAAAATTTTATTTTAAAGAATTGATACTTAAAAAGTAAAGGATGAATTAAAATATTCTAGCAAAATATTAACCCGTATAAAAAGTAAAACATTTTAGAGGATGTATAAAACCCAGGTATGTGATAAAATACTTACCTTACAATATTATGTTTTGCAGGAAACAAATTAGCACCTCTCCTTTTTAAGATAAAACCCTGCATTAAGTATACACAGTATTTAGTATACATAATATATACAAAAGTATCTTCTATAAACAACTTCTAAAAAAATATCTTAGATGGTTATAATGAGTAAACATGTATCAAATACAAATATAATTAGTAAACATATAGAAAATTAGAAAATTTTCTCAAATGTTACAATATATATTTGCATTTAACTTCATAAGTGTGATTGAGTGGACAATAACAAGAAGTTTGCTAAGGTTGGAGAAACTATTCAGAGTAAATGAAACACCTACTTAACTGGAATATGCAAGATTAATTGTGTAAAAAAATGTTCATTATGTTAATAATGTAAACTTTTAAGAATTTAGGAGAGCTATGGTAGATTTTATAAAAAACATTTTTGAAACTTACTTCTCAATTAGGGTGAGGTTTTTCGCAAAATATTATTAATTTATTATCTTTATCAAAATTAATACATAATAGTACAAAACAATTTTCCACATATTTGACAGGAATCTATTTGGATTGCAGAATAAGGTTCAACCTTCGCAGACAAAAAACATGGATATATCTCAAAACACTTGCCTGCAATACAAATCAATCCGGAAAAGAACAGAAACTATGAAGAAAATTTAACAGCGTGCTGTGATTAAATTCCTTACCAAGCAAGGAAAGAACGCTCAGACCATTTTGAATGAAATAGAAACCGTTTTTGAGAAACTGACCTAGTAAATCAATGATTTACAAGTGGCACGATCTTGTAAACATGGTCGAGTGTTAATTAAAGATGACCCATGCTTAGGAAGACCAGTTGAGGCCACCACATCAGATATCGTTGAAAAAGTGAAAAAAAATTGTACTGGAGGACACCAGTTTGAACACCATTTTATGAATCCTATATAACCACCTAGGTATGACAAATATCTGTGCAAGATGTGTAACAAGAATGCTCATGCCTTTTCAGAAACACCAGCGCGTCAATGTGGCAAAATAATATTTGGAGTTGTGTGGAGACGAACCTGCACAAATTTTGGAGCAGATTGTTACTGGAGATAAAACATGGATTCATCACTTTGAACCTGAGTATTAACAAGAATCTGTACAATGGCATAAAAAGGGGCAACACAGCCAAAGAAATTTAGAGTGTCAAAGCCTGCTGGAAAATTGATTGCTACTTTTTTTTGGGATTGTGAGAGGATATTACTCACTGAATACAAAGAAAAGGGAAGAAGCATAACCGGAAAATACTGTGTAATGATATTAGAAAAATTAAAGGAGGCCATCAAGTAAAGATACCGATTAAAATTGACCAAAGGTGTGTTGCTCTTGCAAGACAACACGCTGGTTCACAAGAGCAGAGTTGCAATTGCTGCTCTGCACACACATGACTTCGAATCACTAGTGCACCCACCCTACAGTCCAGATCTGGCGCCAAGTGATTTTTATTTGTTCCCCAATTTAAAAAAAGACTTAAGGGAAGGAAATTTTCCAATGACAATGAGGTAAAGGAGACAAATTTGACTAATTTTGAAGGAAAAGATAAAAAATACTTTTATGATGGTATAGAAAAATTAATTCATAGACCTAATAAGTGTATTTAGCTTAAGGAAGATTATATTGAAAAGGAAAAATCAACCCCTTCCCCCTGATGCTGTTGAAATTTGACTTTAAGTAATGTTGATAACATTACTTTAAGTCAAATTTCAACAGCATCAGGAAAATTACAGCATACAACCTTAACAAGTGTATCAGTAAGAAATATTCAAGAGAATGAAATTACCAGTTTTAATGAAGTTGACAACTTAGAATTCAGTGACATTGTAAGAAAGGTTGAAACTAAACAACTACCAGTTTAAATTTACAAAAAAAATTACAAAAAAAAAAAAAAACTTGTAAAAAGGCAAACTAGGAAAACTTGTGAAACTGGAATGTGTGTTTTTTGTGGAGAAACCCTTTGAAAACACAGTTATAAATCAGGAGCAAGTTATCAGTTATAAATCAGTAAGGTAAAGACAGTTGCTTTTATTTCTAACTTTTATAGAAAATTACAAATGTATGAAGAATGTCTGAGAACTTTTGCAAGTCGTCATTCAAAGTGTTTAAGATAAGAGAAAGTGCACTGAGAAAGTGCTTAAGATAATCATCTACAATATTTATAGACATTTATAGCATAGGTGTGCAAAATTATTGGTGAAAAAAAAAAAAAGGAAAAAATAGAATAAAATATTAAATTTGACAAAAGCAGATGCAATATCTCACACATTAGGAGATTTAATAGACTTTTAACTTGAAACTAGTTTTGATCAATTCATTATTAAGTCTTTGGTTAATTAAGGCAGGGTGGTACTTTCTTTCTGCTCAAAAAACTGTTAAGAAAATGCATATTTGCCATGTTTTATTACTACTAAAATGACTTTTCTGAATGCTCAGAGCAACATTCTTGTAATGGATATACTTGACAACTAACTGAAGAAGAGAGTGAGACTTTTGACATACTGAATGACTTTTAAAAAGTCTATGAAAAAGACAGCACAATGGAGTGTGTCAAACCTGTACAAAAAGTATTAAAGCTGCAATTAGAATAATGAAAAAAAAAAATTATTTTCTGTAATTGAGCAGTAAATAATCTGAAACCTTTACTTTGAGATTTTCTTTCTGTAAAAAGTGTTTTTAGTCAGTCTTTAGTCTATTAGTTGTGCAACTGGAAGGTCGTAAAGATAGCCTTGACCATATAAAAATTTATTTAAAACATAGTGAAGCTATTTTTAAATAACAAGTAATAAAAACAAATGATTCAATACTTCTCTGTTCTGATTTGTTACTTCTATATCTTTGCCACCTTCAATAAGCTCATGTGAAACAGTTGAACCAAACATGTCACTATAACTTATTTGAAATGATGCCATAATATCTTCTTTGACATTGCCATTGTAAGAAAGAAGTTGATTCAAACTGAAGTAAATTTCCTTAAACAATTGTTTTCAAAAATTAATTTTATCTTTTGTAAAATTTAATTTTTTTATTTGAACATAAATCAAAGTAATAGTAAGTTATTATAATTATTAAAATAAAAACATACAGGGTGAGATGAACTTAAATCTTCAAATTTTCCTGAATAGCCTAAGAGTTTTCTATATAAAACTGCTGGAAAACGAACATCAAGTATAATACTATTGTATATTGCGATCCCAAATAACACACCAATTAGCATAAACTGACTGGCAGCTTCAAAGGAAGTAGGATGAAACCAATAGGTGCGAGTTGTTTCATTCAATGTGAACATTCCTTTATAAAACATATTAGATTATTTTCATTTACTCATGAACCTTTATTTATATCCTTTCAAATTTACCAAGATACACATTAAGTCTACAACTTTTATTTTAAATCATGAAAGTTGTAATTAAAAACTTATGACAATTAAGATAACTTATAACAATTGAGATAACCTTATGAATTATTTATTCAAGTATTTTCATTTTTATTCAGCGTTACCCTTTTCTGTTTCTGGTATGTCTGTATTTTTTTACAAAAAAGGATAAAACTTGTTTCATCCAACCAGATCTAAGAACCATTTTTATTGTTTTTTGATGTACCTAATATACTCAGCTTAGCTTTAATAACTATTCATTGTAGAAAGCTTCTTGTGTACTTTTTCAACATAATATATTTTAACATAATAACAGCTTCAAAAACGTACTCAACTTTGATTTAATAAACTGTTTATTGTAGGTTTTTTGTGTTCTTTTTTAAAGAAAAAAAAATTGCAATTCGCATTTGCAATAATTGTTATTGGTGACAGTTATAATTAACATTTTAGTTTTGCTGCCAACGTCTATAACTTAAATTTAGTTTTGGTAGTTGCCAATGTCTATAACTTAATTTGACCAATGTTACCAATAACTTAATTTGATCTTCTTTTAAAAATCTTCCAGCACTGTTGTGTTTTTTAAAACACTTCCAGCACTGGATGTAAACACTTCCAGCACTGGATGTAAACACTTCCAGCACTGGATGTAAACACTTTCAGCACTAGATGTAAACAAATTTGGTAAAATAAATGTTAACACAAACATAATTTAATGATTTTCAATAAATTATGTATCAGCATATAAAACAAAAAATTTTAAATACATGATTATTGCTATATCATGCATTATTGCATATAAAAAACTCAATTTAATATTAACAAGTGAAAACTCATGTCCAAGAATTCCTATCTCATATTATACAATAAGCTCATTAGAAGCTATAATATAAGCTAATATTATGAATTCATAATTATAATTCATAAATTTTAAAATGAACCTTACTATTTGTACTTTTTATTTTATTTAACCCCCTAAGGCCAAAAAAGCCACTACTATCAAGAAGACCACTGATTTCAAAAAGGCCACCACTGTCAAGAAAGTCACTGACATCAAGAAGCCCCTACTGTCAATAAGGCCACTACTGTCAAGAAGGCCACTGAAGTCAACAATGCCACTACCATCTTAGGCCACTGACGTCAAGAAGGCCACTACCGTCAAGTAGTCTTTTTTTTTTCCTTACTTTTTTACATGTAACTATTTTAATTTTGTAATTATTGTTGTCAATAGTATACTAAGACTTCTTACTCACATGTTATGTTTCTTACTCACATGTTATGTTTCTTACTCACATGTTTCTCAATTGCATATTAAGATTTTTTAATTACAACTTTTATGTTCTCAATTCTTTAAAAGATGTAGTTAAATAAAGTTTTTTGTTTTTTTGTTTTAAATGTTTAAGTTATTAACACTGTAATAAAATATTGACAACATAAATTAAAATATTGATAACATAAACTAAAATAACAATAATGTTAACTGAAAAAGTAAGCAAACAATAACTAAACAGAAGAAAAACAATGCAAATTATTTCAAAGATTTTATAAGGAAACAACAATTTTTTTGGGAAAAAATAAAACAAGAACATCGTGGCTTTCTGTAATTAAAAGCCTTTATACTGCACATAGCCTTTATACAGCACACAGCTGTTTAAATGAAAACAAGTTAGTTATAGTTAGTTTGCATGTTGAACTATTTACCTGAAAAGAAGATTTATAAACAAGTTACATAACTAACTTTTTTGTCTGACTAAATTTACTCAACTAATATTTTAGTCTACCTAAAACTAGCTGACTAATTTTTTAGTTAACAAAAATTAGTGGACTAACTTTTTAGTCTAACTGCAACTAGTCAACTAATTTTTTAGTCTAACAAACAATTTTTTTTAACTTTTTGTTTTTAGGTGCCTTAAGAAGACCTAACGGTCTTGTCGCAGAGCACCACAGAAGAGTAATTAAATTGAAAGTTCAGGCACCCTTACTTACCAATGGCGCAAAATATGCCCAGTGCTCACTTTGAACCTAATTACAATACCTCATCTACAAATATTTATTGTTCTGTTCACTGCCTCTGACTATTCTAAACACCAACCACTACAATTAAGCAGGCAAGAGTATTACTATAAATGAAGAATGTAATCGTTAATAGGTTATTATGTAAACATATTTATTACTTGCAAAATCTACAATGATAGCTTGGATATCAAGCTATCTTTGTAAACACTTTTATTCTAAAATGTAAAAAATTCAAAAATGGTCTAAAATTGTATGATGTAATTTATGGTTGACCGCTAAGCGTTAATATAAGATAATGTCTTATATTAACGCTGACAAATTTAAAAGATTATCTTTTGACACAGACATTGAAAGTATGATGAACAAATGAAAGTTGCGGCAGAATTCAGTGATGTTTGAAAGTTGTCACACTTCTGAAAAATAAAATAAAAATAGAGTAAAAGTGAATGGAATAGTTTAGAGTTTTAATTCTTTTTTATTTTAATTTGAAAAAGATTTTTAATTTTTTTTTTTAAGTTATAGAGAATTTTGAGGTGTATTTAAATATATGAAAATCAAATAACTTTTTTATTAAGTTCTTAAATAAACTTTATTTAATTGGAAAAAAACTATATCATTCTACACTCGAATTTAGGGAGTATGAAATATGCATACTAATGGGTATTTAAAAGAATACTTAAAAAATACAACGAACGATAGCAATTAAAAAACAACCAATATTAACAATTAAAAAACCACCAATTAGTAAATAAAATATTTTTATTTATGTGATAATGTTGAGTTGCAGGTGAGTTGACAGAGGATTTGACTTTGAAGTTGGAGTTATGCTACGTATACAGATTCTACAATTTGTTTGTTTAGATTCAGAAGGCAGTGACTGAGATGGTGTACTAGCAGTGCTGGTGGTGGTGACAGTGGCATAAATTCTGGTGGTTGAGATGACAAAAGCTCAGGTTGAGATAAAAGTGTTATCTTTTATTAAGTGAGATATTTGTATACGGAAATGTCTGGACCACTTAAGCACTAATTTTTGTACAGACGTTTTTTTGATTTAAAAATAATGTATGGTGCAAGATATAATTGAACCACAGCCAATTGTTTCACCTATGTTGTTGATACACCTATAAAGAGTTGTTCAACTGAAGAATTGAGCAGCTTGCTCAATCATTCTTGTTGGGTGAAAAGTTTTCCACTTTTTATTATTGCCAATGCAAGCGCGACTTGAACTTCAGTGGATGTGTTTTTTTTGTTTTGTTTTTCATGCAAGTTTTTTCGACGCATGTTTTATATTAGAAAGGATTTGATAATGATCAACTTAAAAGTTAAAGAAGAATTTATAAAAACTCATTGGTCAGTTTAGACATAATTATTTAATAAAAGCCCTTCTTACAAATCAAATAAATCTTGTATTTCATTCAACCATTAACGGTATCCATTTTTAACTCATAACTTTTTACAGGAAATAGCAAATTTAATTTTGAAAAAAGAAATATAGATTGTCATAACTATTTCATTCTACCTTCTATTTCATTCTGCCCACTTTTACTCTATTCTCTAAAGATAACTTTATAAAAACACAGGTTTACATTTTTCAGTGTTATTAAAACTTTTCAGTGTTATTAAAAAAAATAATTTAAAAAAGCTATAAAATGACATCTTTTTCTGACAATCCTTCCTCCCAGTGTCCTTTTTATCTTGACCCCTTTTTCACTCTTTTTGCCTAATGCCATTTATAGATGACTCCTTCAGTAATTTTACATACAGTTTTTATAGCACCAAATACTAGAATGTAAAAAAATGCTAAGAGTTGCCATAACATTTATTAAAATAACATATCATTTTAATGACGTATTATTTCCTTATCTTTTACAGCGGTGACTAATGGTAATCAAACAGCAAGAAAATTGTGTGTTTTTTTGACGTTAAAATAATTAATTTAAAAAATTACGTTTTTACAAAAAAAAAATATTCCTGATAAATTCTTTGAATTGTTTATAGCATTGGCCCCAGGTTAAATTATGTTTCTAATAAAAAAATATTCTGCAAATATTACACACCACTCAGAAGATCTGTTAGACTTAGTAAAAGTTGCATAATTAGCCCCGCCCTATTCTTCGTTGAATATAATATAAAGATTTAAAAAATAAAATTGTTTTTTAAAATAACTGTTTATTCAAGGTGCAACTAACTTAATTGTTTACGCAGTGTTCACACTACATTTAAGAATACTTATTTAAGAACAAAATAAATTAATTATTACAAGAAGATACTTCCATATTACATTTAATAAATTTTAAACTTAATTAGACAACTACAAATTTTCTTACAAAAATACTAACATTTAAAAACATTCAGTTGTCATTCTGTTTCGCTTTACATACAAATTATTTAACGCGTCAGAGAAAAGGTGCTCACTTGGTGCACTGGTAGCAGGTGAACATAAAATCATTGTTGAAATACAATACAATATTGGAAACACATGTTGATTTTGATGCCATTGGAAACACATGTTGATTTTGATGCCATTGGAAACACATGTTGATTTTGATGCCATTGGAAACACATGTTGATTTTTCTACACTTGGTTAATGTTTTTGCAATGAAAAATAATTTAGACAAACTATCAGTTTCACCTTATTCAACTAAACCTATGACATATTTTACTACTAATTGTAAAACATGCCACATGCAACTTATTAGTTAAATGTTTAAATTAACTTTTAAAGAATTTATACAGTTGTGTACCTTACTGGCGTTGTCGGACACTACACTCATTATTTTATCATATACTTTAATTTTTTCTAAGATATTTTAGCAAAGCTTTTTTTAAATCATCTGCATCATGAGCATTTAAAACTTTGCACTTTGGATTTGAACAAAAAACAAATTCTTTAAAGGCATTATATTCTACCAACATAAATGGAAGACAACAGACAATAATAAATATTAAAAGACTTCTATCAATCCTAATGCTATTTTCTTTTGACACGCCACTCATCTTTCGATGATGGTAATCTAGTTTTTGATGTTTTACTTGAGTACCTTTTAGATGTTACTATTATATTTGTTGTATACCCATTTTTATTTTTCCTCTTCAATTGAGTAATATTGTATGTAGTCTTAGTTGCTTCTTTAATGGACTGTATCAATTTAAATCTCTTTTTGATATCAGATATGTGTTCAAAATGTGTTCAGTAGTGTGTTCAAAAGGAGAAAATGTATTATTGTTTGCCATAACTTAATAATTCAATTTCTTATAATAAGTTTATAGATGTTTTTTTAGAAAAACTCTTTATCTTGTATAAAGCAAGAAACCATTACTCCGAGGTTTCAATTAAGACATTTCATAAAACTTGTCTTGTTGACAAATTTAATGAACATAATAAAAATTATAATAATTAAATAAATTAGAGAAATTCATTAAAATTTGAGTATTTTCAAAAAGTATTTATTGTTTATAACAATTAGGTAATTAAAATGTTCTGTTTGTACCTGTAATTCCCCCAATTTTTTTTTTCTGAACTAAATAATCTATTTTTCAGCGGTCAAAAACAGTTAATAATTTATACTGAAGAGATAATTAGTTAATAATATTTTAATTTTTGAAAGAAAAAGAAAAGGAATAGTTTAACAGGATATTCAATTAACCAATATAAATATATTTAAAAAATTTAAATGTCTAATTTATAAAATCTAATTGCCACCACTGTAAATATCTCCGATTATGAGTACAAAACTAAATAATTTACAAACTATTACATTAAAAAATGAGTGAAGGTGTTATATAAAGAAAATCTGAAAAATAATTCCGCACCAAACACATTTTTTAAAAGTATGGAACCATCTTTTTTTTATAAATTCATTTCACATAAATGTGTTTTATAATATATAACTCACTTCAATTATAAATTGAAAACCCTTTCTCCAAAAACCTGGAAAATAAACCTTAAAATTAATCTTTAGGGGCATTAATTATGTCAACAAAATAGGAAAAGGGCATGAAAATTTTTTACAATTGTTGATAATGAGGAGGGGGAGAAGCCAAGACAAGTTGACGCCAACAATGTTACTTTTTTTAAACTTAAAAAAAGGAAAATTAGGCATCGTTTGCAGTCCTGTGTTACACACTCCCTCAACCTTCAATATTTTAAAAAAGCTAATTAAATTCCTACTTTTTAAAAACAGTGTTGTGCTTTAAAAAGACCCCACACATACAGAACTAAATAAGCACACACAAGCATTACACATAACACACACTTTTTTTTTTTTCCAAAGTTGTAGTTGGTTAGTTGTGCAAACAAAAAAAATTAATGCAAGTACATAGTCTACATTATATTATTTAAAAGTTTATACCAGTTAAAAAGTTAGTCAATTAATTGTTAGTTAGACTAAAAAGTTAGTAGGCTATTTTTAGTCAACTAAAAAAGTAGTTGACTATTTTTAGTTCGACTAAAAAGTTAGTTGATTAATTGTTAGTTAGACTAAAAAGTTAGTTGATTAATTTTAGTTAACTAAAAAATTAGTCAAATAATTTCAGTTAGTTTAAAAAAATAGTAGTTGAAAATAGTTTGATTAAAAAGTTAGTTACAGTTGTTTTAGATTAGTTAGTTATGATTTTTAGTTTTGGTCACAACACTAATGAAAAACTTTGTTTAAAATTTAAAATAAACTACATAAAAAATTGCTTCATTAATATGATTTAGTATGAACATGTAATAAGGTTATAGATGAAACCATTTTACATATTTCTTAATTGCATTATTTATTATATAAATATAAATAAATTATGCATTTAAAAAACACTTAAAATGATTTTATCAGGACAGAATAATAAAATTAGACAGAAAAAATATTTTGGAGCTCCCAGACATAAAACTAACAATATTTGTAAACAGTTTTTCTGCACAATTTTTTTCAACCAAAGTTAGTTCAGCAACATAATGTGACAGAAGTTGACATTTGGCTGCCAGAGCAGATCCAGTGTCAACAATATGGTTCTGCGGATTATAGACATAAATCTAAAAAAAAGGGGCTGATGAGAAGGTACCCTGATAAAACAACAGTATTGCATAAAATGAGGAATAAGAACTAGTATAAGATAAGCAAGAAAGTAACTAGTAACTACAAAAAAGTGTAAGTAAAAGTAACTAGGAAAAACAAACTTAACATATGCTAATTTTGTGATGGATTTGTTACATAGTTTCCAGGAAGAGTCAGCAGTAAAACATATTCCAGGAAGTTCATGCAGTTGATATTTATAGATATAAGGATAACTATTGTGATAATGATCTAAAGGAGTTTTAAAATTTACCAGACAATGTAATACCCAGGCAATAACGGAGAAGTATTGCATTCATGATAAATACTTTAACTGCATGATCTAAATGATCAAAAAATAATATCTTCTTGAATATATAGTTTTATAACCAGCAAATAAAATAACTTTAGTGGTAAGACTGGTAGAAAGATCATAAATCTAGATAAAAAAACATTATGGGACTTGTTTTTTATATAGATTTAAAAAAGAATGGAGCCTTGTCGTTCCCTGAACTCACCAGAAAGGAAAACCATTTAACAAGAATAACTTGATGTTGCAATTGGAAGCGTTTGTTAAAAAAAAACTTACAAAAATTAAAAAATTAAAAAAAGAGGGCTTATTTAAAAGTTTAGCATGCCAGACTTTGATCAAAAATGTAAAAGCGATTGTTTCCTCATGCCTCACTTTTTCTAACTAATACATAAAAAAACTGTTCAATTATTACCATCAACAAATCAACTGTAGAATGAGTCAAAAATCATAATGTCAGAAACTAATGCATTGGATTCAAGGTGATATGTTAAGAATTTGGTGAGTAAAAATTAAACAGGTATATCAGGAGCAGTGTAATCAAGAGATGGTTAAAAATAATAATTTTTGCATGCTTATCTTCTCTATAAGCTCCATTAACTTGGTATATCTAAAATAGTTTATATTTTAATCTCAGTATTAAAGCCTGATAGACAATCCTTTATTTCCAGTAACATTCATGGGTATCAAAAAGTTCCATATCTTTGATTATTTAGAACAGCTAACCTTGAATGTATTCTTTTTGTGGCTTGGGCTGGCAGTAATAGTAGCAGTGACTGGTAAATTTTAACCAAACAAAACTCAGCTGTTTACTGCTAATAATTATTGTAATATTGTTGATATTCTTATATTGATAAATGGCAACATTCTTGCTGCAAACATTCTTGCTGCAAACATTCTTGCTGCAAACATTCTTTCTGCAAACATTCTTGCTGCAAACATTCTTGCTGCAAACATTCTTGCTGCAAACATTCTAAGCACTCTAAACACTCTAAAACTCTACTTAGCATTTTCTTTGAGTAATTATTTTAAGCATTATAGTTTAATTATACTAAAGCATTATTTTATTTTAAATGCACTAGATTTTTTTTTTGCTATTTTTATTTATGTAAGTAGAACACAACTCAACCTTAAAAAAATTATTAAATTTAATAAAAACATTAAATTTTATAAATTTTGGTGTTTAAAAAAAAGATATTTTGTAAGGGCTTTATTTCATTTATGTAAACTAAATTACACTGGTGTGGACGAGGGCCTGCAATTCGTGCCAAGACCTGCAATCTATTGCAAAGCTAGCATCCTCTTAGGTTGCTTCTTCTTATTAATCATTGTTTTTCTAAAGAATACTATATAATTTGTATAGAATATTATGTTGGTTCTTTTATTGATGACTTTTTTTTTTCCTCTGTCCAATATACCATTTCTATAAGAACTATAATGGCTGCTGATAAAGCAACCTTTTCATATTTTAGTGCTTTCATCAACCAAAACTGATTTTGCATTATGTATTAGCAAAGTTATTTACCAAACAAAAGTTGTATCCTTTTACTGTAACTGCTTCTTTGGTGTTAAAAAGTTTTATTCATTTAGTTTTTTCCGCATTAATGTTTTGAAAATCTTTTTTTTCTCGTACTTCGATGTTCTGCAAATCTTTTTCTGAAAATTTTTTCCTGCTATAACTTTATTTTACTTAAAGATTTTTTATTTACATTTCTTTAATAAAAAAAAAAAGTCAAATAACACATACCAAAATCTGGATTAAAAAGTTCCTCAATAATCAACTGAAAGAATTCTTTAGAAACACCTCCTTCATCAATGCCTTGTTCTCCTTCAAACTCTACAAAAAATTGCTTTTTAAAATCTTCAGGCTCGTCTTGAGCTACCATTTCTAGCTAAAAAATAGTTTTAGGAAAAACATTTGTATCGATGACTGTTGAACTAAACAAAATACATTTTTTTACTATCGAACAATTATAAATACTGTTATTAAATAAAATAAATATTAAAAAGTTCTAAAGTTTGATATTAAAGATCTAATAAAATGATTAAAAGAATTTTATAGAAAAGTGAAAAAAGCACTTTTTATAAATATTTTGAAAAACATATTGAACTTATTTCTTATACTTTATTTTTAATTTTGATTTTAACTAGACCATAGTCAGATCTGGATCTGAATACCCTGCTACCCGATTCCTAATTTTGAGATCTGGACCTATTTCAGGATAATTGGTTACTGATTATTTTTTATAAAAATTTACTTTTTACAATGTTAATAAATCCGTGTACCACATTTTGTTAAATTGTTACACTTTGAAGCTTTATTTTATTTCAAAGCAATTTTAAAAACAAATTTTAACATAACTTTTAAATAATTTACAAGCAATATTCCTGTTTAAGAGTATTTCTTTAAGTACAAAGTAAACAAAACTGCTAAATGCAAAACCTGTAACATTATTGTAAAATCTACAGAAGACTGTGTGCAAGTGAAAAGATTTGTGAAAAGATGTGAAAGCATTTAAAGATAAAGCATAAAATAGAATAGCAATTATTACTTTTTTGATCAAAGTTTATGCCAAAAAGATAGAAATTTTGTACAAGCAAAAGATACCATTGCCACTATACTCACAGATTTTAGTGCAGCAGATGTACTTTCATTTAGCACTGTTGCTAAAAGTAAGAGATAACGAGAATTTGCTTTAGCAAAAGGACACAAAATACAGTATATATTAGGGTGGCTCTTAAAAAAACTTTTTTGAGAAAAACCTACTCTTACCCCTTTAATTTGTAATGTTTATTAATAAAACACTAGGTTTAAAATTTTTTTGAACAAAAAATATTTTTAGGGGCAGTTCAAAATCCTTAAAAATTTGACGAGTCCCTAATATTTTGAAAAAAAAAGTTTTTTTAAAGTATGTTAACCTGGTACTCAAAACAGGCAAAAATATATTAAGAATTTAAAAATAATCATTTTTCATAAAGATAATTTTTTTAAATATAAATGCATAAAAACTATTGTTTTTAAGCTGAAAAGTTTTTTAAGAATAATTTTGGCATGTTTTTTACGTAAATTGATATATATATATATATATATATATATATATATATATATATATATATGAGTGTGTGTGTATATATATAACTCTCGAAATTAAAGTCGACATTCAGCAATACCCACGTAAAAGTGTTTGAGGTCAGCAAAAAAACTGCCGACCTTATTTCTATGTTTTATGGTAAGACCTTTGAACTAAATTTTTTTTGCTAACCTGATGTCGACCTCTAAAAGATTGAGGTCGGCAAGTTATTGCTGACCTCAATTTTCCGGATTCTGAGGGTTGTACATATATATATAAATAAATATATATATATATATATATATATATATATATATATATATATATATATATATATATATATATATATATATATATATATATATATATATATATATATATATATATATATAGTATCGGACCAAACAAGTGCAACCAAATAATGCTAATTTAGTTTCTTTATATAAAAGTAGTGCATTTTTTCAATTTAGAGAAATAACTATGTAACTGTTTAGAGACAACGTTCTTCAAGTTTTATTCATCACAAAGTTCATTATTTGTACACAAAAATTAATAAATTAATCAAAAGTATTAAAAAAAGTTGATTTCCTTCTGGACAAAACAAGTGCAACTCCACAAAATGTTGACCAAGCTGTATTTTGCTATCAATATTGCATGGCGAATCCTTTGTTTTCAATCACAGCCTTGCATCTTCAAGGCATAGATTCGATCAGGTGATCAATGAAACTTTGTGGAATCGCTGCCCAGGCCTTTTGGATTTGTTCAAACAGTTGATCCTTATTACCAACACCTTCACGATTAATTCTGCGGTTGACGATCTCCCACAGGTTCTCAATAAGGTTGAGATCCGGAGATTGAGGCAGCCAATCCTTCACCGATAGGTGGTTGTCTTGAAACCACTGCTTAACTACTTTTGCAGTGTGTTTCGGATCATTGTCTTGCTGAAAAACCCATTTTAATGGCATGTTCCTTTCAGCATGAGGTAACATAACATCTTTCAGGATATTTTTATACATGAAACGGTCCATTATTCCATCGATTCGATGTATTGAACCTAGACCGCTAGCAGAAAAACACCCCCAGACCATTACATTGCCTCCACCATGCTTCACGGTCTTATGGCAGTAACGTAAATGGAGGCGTTTTCCGGCTGGTCAACGTACATGGCAAATGCCATCACTCCCAATGATGTTGAACATCGATTTATCACTGAACAGGACAGTTTGCCATTTCTGCACATTCCAGTCAATATGAGATGTAGCAAACAGGAGTCTTTTCTTCCGGTTCTTTAGTGAAATCAGCGGTTTCTTTGCAGGGCGTCAAGAAAACAATTGGGCTTCAACAGCACGTCGTCTGATTGTTCGGTCCGATACAGGCATCTCTAATTGCTTTTGTATCTTGACTGATATAATCCAGGGATCCTTTTTGACGGATCTGGCGATCATAGAATTCAGATTTTACAAAAAATGAACACTTACGGGGACATTAGCATTATTGGGGACATTATAGTATACCCGCTATTTTTTTGTCCCCGTAAGCATTATTTTTTTTGTAATGTTTTATAGAGAACAAAAAGTACATACATCGACTATCAAATAGCCTGGCTCGCAAGGAAGTGCTGCTACGTCAACTGAGGGTTTGATTTGGCCAGACATCAAGGTCAGGCTTAGGGTTAGGGTTACGGCAAGGTTTAAATTTGGTTATATTATTGTAACTAATCGTTTTTGTAAATAGATGAAGTTAAAAATGAAATATAATATAAAATAGATAAATAAAAAGAACAAATTAATATAAAAAATATATTTTTATAATAAAATAATAAATTTAAATATGTATAAATAAAAATAGAATTAAATAAAAATTAAAAAAATATATATAAATATGATAAAAATAGTATAAAAAAAGTAAAAAAAAAAAAAAAATTAACGTGTCTACAAAAGTCGCCTTATACATGATGTTACTAAGTATTTTTTCTTAACTTAAATATTTTGGCTGCATCTAAATGAAAATTTACTCTTTTAACAATTCTAATAGCTGTTGTTTTTCATAATTTAAAAAATATAGATTCTATTAAAGTCATATAATGACTATAGGCAACTATCAATTGAACTGATTCCAATGCTTAGCAATATGATTACTATGCTTAGCAATATGATTACTAAAAAAATAATATAGTGGATCGCAATTTCTATTAAATTTGCATACAAACTGTTCTTGTTGACCACATTGAGCTGGACGCATAATAGGTTTGTTGTGCCAGTTAATGATGGTAGAGCTTTTTCAATTTTAAACTTTTGAATTAAGTCACCTCTTATTCTACGATCCTCCAGTTTTTGAATTTGAAATAAAATACATCTATCTGTAACCAAGATGTTTGCATATGGTTGGGACTTTTGTAGATTGTCTTGGAGTCTTTTTAATAATCTTTATATCTTTCATTAAATAAGGTGACCAACCACTGATTGCATATTCCAGGTTAGGTCTGACATATGTTTTGTACAATTTGGTCCATAACATTAAATCTCTTGATATAAATGTTTTTTTTAACATATTAAGCATTCTGTTAGCTTTATTTCTAGCATGAATAACTTGATGAAAATATTTAGCATTACTTGAAACAAATATAACAAGATCTTTTTCTACATCTGATTTTTCTAAATCGTAATATAAATAGTTGGTTGTATCTTGAAGTGAATAGTTTGAGGGTGGGTTGTTTCTTCCCATATGCATAACTTTACATTTTTATAGGTTCAGCTTCATCAACCAAACTTTTGTCCATTCAGTGATTTTATTTAAATCAGTTTGAATGTCAGTTGTATCATTAAGAACTATTTTTACTCGTAGCTCATTCATTAATTTCGAATCATCTGCATATAGTTTACTGACACATTTTAAATTATCTAGCAAGTCATTGATGTAAATTATAAAAAACAATAAAAATTATTTTAATATATATATACATATATAATGAGTTTATTTAAACAAAAAAAATTATTTTAATATATATATACATATATAATGAGTGACCAGGGCCCTAGCCCCGGGTAAAAATTAGACTTTTTTCAAACACAGCCCTGGCTAAACTATAAGATTTAGCAGAGGTTGATAGCCGGGGCTACAAAAAAATTTATAATACTTTTTATATTATAATTTTATGCTTACATTTACTATTTATTAAATACTGGCATATATTTATATATTTTCAAAATTTAATTTACTTCCAACAAGATTGCAAGCAACCACTATTAAGTTATAAGTTACTTTAAAATAGAGAATAAGTAAAAGCACTAGGAAAAGGTTAACTGAAGACTTGAAAAGTTGTAGGTTGTATATAAAAGAAAAACATGAAGATGGCTGATAAAAGTTTTGGCTAAGGTTTTTTTGATGTGTAAGGAAAAAAACTGGATTAATAAAAGTTTTTATAGCATGAAGGGACAGATACATTAAAACACAAAAATTGTAATAGATATGTTTGAGCATTGACCATGAGAAAAAAAGAAAGAAATGCAACCTAACAACAATGGGAGAGTGGCTCAGGCTTGGCAGATAAAGCAGGTCTAATTTATTATTATTATTATTATTATTGTTTTGTTATGTTAATTTACCTCCCCAAGGCTGAAAATGCCACTACAGATAAAGAGGCTACTTAATTGTGGTTGTAACCCTCTCTCAACTGAATAACTCGGAAACACGAACCTTGACAACCAAGGCCGCTGCGCAGAGAAACATAGAATAATAATAAAAAAATGAGGAAGAGTGTAGGCCTTCAAGAATAACTTAAATACTGCAGTTACTAAGAAACAATTTAATAACCTTAAAAC